AAGGCAAATGACTAGGGCTAAGGCAAATGACTAGGGCTAAGGCAAATGACTAGGGCTAAGGCAAATGACTAGGGCTAAGGCAAATGACTAGGGCTAAGGCAAATGACTAGGGCTAAGGCAAATGACTAGGGCTAAGGCAAATGACTAGGGCTAAGGCAAATGACTAGGGCTAAGGCAAATGACTAGGGCTAAGGCAAATGACTAGGGCTAAGGCAAATGACTAGGGCTAAGGCAAATGACTAGGGCTAAGGCAAATGACTAGGGCTAAGGCAAATGACTAGGGCTAAGGCAAATGACTAGGGCTAAGGCAAATGACTAGGGCTAAGGCAAATGACTAGGGCTAAGGCAAATGACTAGGGCTAAGGCAAATGACTAGGGCTAAGGCAAATGACTAGGGCTAAGGCAAATGACTAGGGCTAAGGCAAATGACTAGGGCTAAGGCAAATGACTAGGGCTAAGGCAAATGACTAGGGCTAAGGCAAATGACTAGGGCTAAGGCAAATGACTAGGGCTAAGGCAAATGACTAGGGCTAAGGCAAATGACTAGGGCTAAGGCAAATGACTAGGGCTAAGGCAAATGACTAGGGCTAAGGCAAATGACTAGGGCTAAGGCAAATGACTAGGGCTAAGGCAAATGACTAGGGCTAAGGCAAATGACTAGGGCTAAGGCAAATGACTAGGGCTAAGGCAAATGACTAGGGCTAAGGCAAATGACTAGGGCTAAGGCAATGACAAGGGCTCCGTAAGGTAGCTATCTCTAGGAGAGTGATAAACGCTGAAACAATACTCGGCAGCGGGAAGGGATCAGAGTGAGTGTTAAATAGTGAGGGAGTGATATGAAACAGCTGGGTGCAATCAGTGTAAACAGGTGTGTGCAATTCGTGCTGAGTGCAATCAGTGCAATGCATGATGGGAAATGTAGTCCGGGGTGCTATGCAACAGTTTGTGTGGTGCGAGAGTCAATGAAAAGGAAAGTTCATGGACCGGATTCGTGACAAACAGCATGAAGGAATCTCATACAGGTTTAGAACATCAACCGAATTTTCATTTTTCGGTGAACTATAATGCAGCCTATTATAGCTGCTGTTACCATTTGTGTCAATAATGTAAAATTCTGTGTTTTTATGTCAATATGGGGTGCTGTGTGTACATTAATGAGGAAAAAAATTAACTTAAATGATTTTAGCAAATGGCTGCAATATAACAAAGAGTGAAAAATTTAAGGGGGTCTGAATACTTTCCGTACCCACTGTATATACATCTCATTAGTGTGATGGGGGGGCCCTGCAGTAAGTCATAGCCCCGGGGCCCAGTGCGGTCTTAATGCGGCCCTGCGTATAGCCTATATTTAGTAGTCACGTTCACAGCAGAAACTTCCATTATCCTCTTAGAATTCAAATATTTAATGGTTTCCTTCATCAAGGCATATTTAAGTAAATTTTACATTTAAGGATGTTTGTGTAACTGTAGCATATGATTATGCTTGAAAAAAAAAATTGTAAAATGTACTGATACTTTTCTGTCAGGACATACATTTTCCCTTATGGAAATAAACAATGGTTTTACTATAGTAAAAGTGCAGTAACCATGGATTGATTGTCATTTTTTTTAACCCACAGTTTAACTACAGATGTATGGTTAAAAGGTTAGCGTAATAAAATCATGGTTAATTTTATTGTGTTTTCCGATAAACCTAAAACATCATATTGAATTTACATACACTGTCACTAATTTTTTTAATTAATTAAAATGTATTTATTTATTTAATTTGGAGTGTAGAGAAAAGCCTTACAAACCGTATCCATTATATACAATTGCAATGTTAAAGTTAAATAACAACGTTCCCTTTACTAGAGACAACAAAAATCCCATATACTAGGCTATTTAATAATAGTTCAAATTTAAAATGGGCAATATAAGTTGACGACAACAACAATAATAACTAAGTACAAAATAAAAAAATATATATATACTAGAAGCTGGGTGTGCTCCTCAAGGGGACAATGGTATTGTACATTTATTAAAGTCTTATATATTTTATATTTGCAAAGTACAACTGTTTACATGTAGTAAAAAGGTAAGCAAAATAAATGTAATAACGATCTTCATTATGTTATGTGCAGGAAAAAAACACGAACTTCTGTGGAGAGTAATGTTGGCATAATAGGTGGCGGTAATACACCTTAACGTTGGATGCCACCCGCCATAAAACATGAAGAAGAAGAAGAAGAGTAATGTTCGCGCTGCGCTGTTGTAACTGATCAGCACTTCGCTGTCAGTTCGGTGGCGCTAGTAAACACGTCCTCTCTGCGCTGTCGAGTCGGTCGCACAGCTCGGTCCATTGAGCTGCGCTGACCGCGAACACTTTAATACCGCGCTGTTTCATCCCACTTTTGGGTTGTTTGGCTTCCCATACATAAATGCTCAGGTGAAATGCTATAGTAATACTAGAAATCTGCAAAAGCATTTTGTCCTCCTTACTGAAAGAACTCACCTTGGTGAGGTACCATGGGAAAATACCATCATAGTTTTCTGGAACACCAATTTTAAGATGAGCAGTCTCAGAAAGCAAAATGTTCTGAGACAGCACCTAAAATAGAAAGCAATTAATTGCAGAAGTAAATCATGTTGATTGATAAACATATACAGTGGGTATAGAAAAGAATCATTCTCCATCCATACTCCTTTAAAATAATCACATTTTGTTGCTTTGCAGCCTGAAATAAAAATGAACACAGTTTTTGTTTTATCCAGCTGTATCCGAGTGTTTTATCCACACATCCAAGTGAAAGATATAACACCAACATGTCAGAAAAAAAATATTACAAAAACAGAATCACTGAGTTGGAAAAAGGATCACCCCCCTCCTAAAAATAACTTGTAAACTCAATCAGGTGTAGCTAATCACCTTCTCAATGGCACACAAAGCCATTTGACTCTCATGTGATCAGCTGTGGTCATTTTGATTAGCTCAGCATGAAAAGAGCTTTCCTGGAGCATTTCAGTCCTTGGTAGTTCAACTGAAGCAAGCAATCAACTGTGGGTGGCAAGACACTGTCGAAAGATCTACAGGATAAAGTTGTGGACAGGCACAAGTCAGGAGATAGATTTAAAAAATGCAAAGGCTTTATCAATGTCTAGAAGCACAGTGAAGTCTATTATTAAGAAGTGGAATATATTTGTTAGAACACGAACCCTCCCTGGATCAGGACGTCACTCTAAACTGGATGAAAGCTAGGAGGAAACTGGCCAGAGAGGAGACCAAGAGGCCTACAGCAACTCTAAAGCAGTTGCAGGAATTTATGACAAAGAGTGGTCATTATGTGCATGTGACAACAATATCACAAATTCTCTACAAATGTGGCTTGTACGGGAGGGTTGCAAGAAAAAAGCCACTCCTCAAGAAAGGCCACATGCAGTCACGACTGAGCTTTGCCAAAACACACCTTGAAGATTCTGAGGCAAATTAGCCTAAAATGTAATTATTTGGCTTCAACACCAAGCAATATGTCTGGCGGAAATCCAATACAGCTCACCATCCAAATAACAGCATTCCTCCAGTGAAGCATGGAGGTGGTAATGTCATGCTATGGGGTGTTTCTCTGCAGCAGGGACTGGAGCACTTGTAAGAAGGACAAAAGGATGGGGCAAAATACAGTCAAGTTCTTGAGGAAAATCTGCTGCCCTCTGCCAGAAAGTTGTCAATGGGAAGAAGGTTTATCTTCTAACATGACAATGACCCAAAGCACACAGCAAAACTGAGCACACAGTGTTTGAAGGAGAAAAATGTGAATGTCCTTGCATTGCCTAGTCAGAGCCCAGACTTAAACCCCATTGAAAATCTGTGCAATGACTTGAAGACTGCAGTCCACAAACGCTCACCATCAAATTTAACTGAACTTGAGCAATTCTGCAAAGAAGAGTGGGCAAATACTGCAAAGTCGAGATGTGCAAAGTTAGTAGAGGCATATCCCAGCAGACTAAAGGCTGTAATTAAAGCAAAAGGGGGTTCAACAAAAGGTCATTCTTTTTCCAACTCAGCGATTCTGTTTTTTTATGTTGGGGTTATATCTTTCACTTGGATGTTTGCTATAAGTTGCACTGAGTAAATACAGCTGGATAAAATAAAAAAAATAAAAACCTGTGTCCCGTCTTCATTTCAGGCTGCAAAGAAACAAAATGTGATTATACCCACTGTATATAGTCCAGACAAAAAAGCTAACTAAGAGAACTTACACTCAGTGCAATCAACCAAGCAATTGGAGATTCCATCCAGACAACAGTGGCCTTCACGCTTAAGACAAAAAAAACAACAACATAATTTTAGCATTCAGGCTTTGCATTTAAGTTCAATCTTTTTTATCTATTGATTTGTTAATGTTTATGTAAAAAAAAAAAAGTATTTAAAAAAAAAAGAAGTTTTTGTAGTTTTTAATGGATAATAATGGGTTTGCTTTTAAAGGTGCACTGCATAAGTTTTTTTTTCTTCATATGAGGTTCGTCAGCTGCTATATTGTAGTTTCGCTATATAATGTATGTAGTCTACATAATTAACTACATAAACATTCTGATCATTTCTTTGTGTGAAACCTTTGTGTGCACCTAATAGTAGCCTAATAGTTTGAGCGAAAGAATCAAGCGTGCCATCAGACAACTTCCCTCCAGTTAATGTTAAACTCGAGTACACCTCATTAATGTAACATCACGTCAGGTGTCGACTTACTTTTGCAGCCTACGCTTTTTCAGAGATAGCTACAGAATTTCGGCTACAGTTTTTTTTATTTTTTATACAAAGCATGATCATAAAACAAGAATATCCGCTTTACAAAACATGACAATACATTCTGTGCGTTCCCAGCGATTAGCCTACATGAATGTAAACAAACAAACAAAAGTCTGTATACTCTACAATTACGTCGGGTAAAGAAAGACAAATAAAATAATAAGCTACAGCTTACACAACTACAGTACCTCTAGTCAAACTTTCTAAGAAACTCAATTCAGTTTACTGTAATCAGTGATGCGGTTGCTGAATAAGGCAGAAAAAAAGACAAAACTCTGTGGACTGTGACAAAACCTTACGCACGTCTTGTCTATCCAGGTCGTGACAGGATTTGGACTTCTGTCTGAAGGCCATCTTCTTGTTCTTCCGGGCCACCATACGGCCCAGGAAACGTTTGGCCTTTTTGCTGATGCTCTCGCGGCGCTTGCAGTTGGCCATCCGGCGGGCGTTTTCTTCTTTGCTGTCCTTGCGCAGGCGAATTTGCCGGACGATGCCCTCGAAGAGGTCACGCACATTGTGATGTAGCGAGGCTGAAGTCTCAATGAACTTGCAGTCAAACACAACGGCACAGGCACTGCCCTCTAGAGAGACAGGGGAAAAGAGACACACGTGCAGGTGAGCATAAACTCCATTACCAGAGGGATGGAGGCTACATGTCATCATTACTATGCCTCCTGGCTGTTCCTCAAAGCTCAGGAGACAGGCAAGTGCTTTATCCAAAACATCTACAACCTGACTCCAACCAGAGACTGCAAGGTCTGTTTCTACCTGCCATATTTAAACTGGAGAAGAAGGTGGCTGAAATCTTACCATCCACAGAAACTTCTCGGGACCGCACCAAGTCACTCTTGTTTCCCACCAGGATGATGGGGATGTTTTCCGACTGCCGAGCTCTGCGCAGCTGGATTCGTAGCTCTGAAGCTTTCTCAAAGCTGGACTTGTCTGTCACAGAGTACACGATGACATAGGCGTCTCCCATACGCATGCACTGATCTTTCAGCCACTGGCTGTTGTCCTGCAGGAACAAATTGGATGGTTATGCAGAGAAAAGTTATTGCTGATCATAGCTAATGACAATATGACATTACATTTTTTAATTTAGTTAAAATATTTTATTGTAAACATATATTATAATATTTTATTTATTTAAATGTAATAACTCTTCATGCCCATTGCTTACCTGCTCCCATATGTCATAGAGAAGGATTGACGTCTCCTCATCATCGACCACGAGGGATCTGTCATATGTGTTTCCTGAAATGAAGGAGCAATACATAATTACACATCTGTAATGTTACACAAGCTTTTGAATCAAAAACGCACCACATCACTTAGTCTTTCCAGAAATTATTAGTCTGAAGGGGAAATCTTGATTCAAGCCCTTCTGAACAGATAAGGGCACAATCATTTTACATTTACCTGTTTCTTCGCAGTCGTTACTGTCTTCGACTCCTCCAAATATTCTCGCCAAACTCGACTTCCCAACGCCGTGCTCGCCCAGGAGGACCACCTTGTAGACCTGGGCGTCCGAGTCGCTGCCGGACGAGATGACCGAGTCGGAGGAGTCGGACACGCAGCTGTTCCTGTGCTCCTCTGCCGGACTGAAGCGCATGAGGCTGGACAGCTCGGTGGGCTGAGCCTCGGTCGTCGAGCGCAGCTCTCGGTCGTCCACCGGCATGCTCCTTCTGTGCAAGTTCTGCAGGTGGAGGGGAAACGGCATGCTACCTCTCCTCTTGTCCATGTTCCTCAACTTGTCTCCTTTGTTTAAGGTCATGACTCCAAACCTGTCTGTGTAAAACTATATTATAACAACTGTACACTATAATGACAGTTTGATACAAACGTACACCTATAATAATATTACTACTAAGTTACCAAGAGGAGTTGTATGATATGAAAACATGTCAAAATGATACTTACATGTGATAGCGTCTACAACGTCTTCCGTTTAATGTCAAAATTCCAGTTATTCCGCTTAACGCCGTCACTCTCCCGCTGAGGGTTTCGCTTGTGGTCGGCGATGAGCCGGATCCCTTATTTATGCGCGTGAGTGACGTCAGCCCGAGGGAGGGCTTGCCTCGCGGAGAATCACGAGTCTTTCTTGTAGTAGTAACATCATTTTGAGGGAGGGGCGGAATCCAGCTCGTGTGATTCACCATTCTGCGAGGGCGTCCGGCAGAGAGGGTCTTCCCTCCCCTGCGCGTGTAATGCATAGACGATGGGCTGATTCATGTTCCGCTTTTACTTCAGCCATGAAATGGCTTCCTCACTGTATACATATATATATATATATATAATTTGTTTTCCTCCTGCTGAAATAGACATCTTGCTAGTTTTAACTGGTTGAAGCTGGTCTCCCACCCTGAGCTCAGCATGCACTGTAAAATTCGTAATTTTAAAGGCAAACCAATGTGAAAATGCTGTGAACTGGTATACTGTAAGACACCTAATACCATATTTCAATGGACATTATAATTTGACTTTGTTTTAGAATTGTGTGTGTTACCCTAATGATCTTTTGCTTTGTTTGTGTGGTTAACTGTGCTCTCTAGAATGATTATTGGTTTATCGCAATGGCTGGAAAGGTCAATTTTGTGGATTTTGATAGTTGCCTACTGTAGATTGGTTGGTTAACATATTATATGATTTCATGATAGACAGTTATGAACTAAAATCACCAAGTCACCAAAACGTCACCATGTCATTCTTGAAACATCATCACTTTGAATTTCTATGAAATATAATGAATAACATTTACCCAGGACCAGCAATCAACTGTTTTCCCCAGCATTCAAAAGGTATTACTTAAAGAGATTTTCTGATTAGTATCAGATTTAGTATCCATTGTCAGATTATCATTTATTATGTTTGTTGCATGCTAAAAACATCATCCTATAATTTTCAAGGGCAAAATCATGTTGGTGGAGTACATTTATAGGTAGTTCAATGTTGTCATCTAGTGGTACATGATAGGTATTGTCACGTACAGGCATTTACCAGCAAGTGTATCAACTAACCTGTGCCTTGCCAATACAGTTCTACTTTGTTATTCCACAGTTATAATCGAAGATACATTTCCATATTTTGACTCTTATTTAACAGCTGATTGTATAATACGGGAGTTGCATATGGCAATTTCTTCATGCTTTATCAGATCTGATTTTAATTAGTCTATTTTTTGCATTAGCACTCAGATTCTGTGAAACTAAATGATTTTGGCAAGTAGGCACCTTACATAAGTCTTTTATCCACACCAAGCTGATTTCATACTTATGTGGAGGAGGTTTATATATTGTGATGACTTGCCAAAGTTATGGGATTTTTATAGCCCCAATGTAAAAAAAAAAGATCCGTTATTTTAACAGGAAAACATTGTAAAAATGCTATAGTAAAAAACTGTTAATTGGTTAACAGTAAGTTTCTGTACTATATACACAGTGACAAATTGTCATTACATTGAATGTAATTTCACAATAAGACTGTTAAAATTAAGTTTTTTGGAAGTGAAAAACAAGTCATTGTATAATTTACAGTAAAAAAACAAAACAATCAAACATAAATTGACACTCCCACAATTCCTTGCATGACACTTCATATTTGATGTTTTTTTCATTGAAATAACTGTTTCTTCTTCTTATGTTTTTCTTCTTCTCAGTTGTGTACATTAGGGTTTTATCCTACATGTAATGTTGTTAAATTAATGTTTATTGCATCATTTCAGTATCATGTGTGTAACCGTGATGGTGTTTAGTGCTTGTGTGAATGACACTGTGCACATTCTACAGGTGCATCTATGGGCTGATTCATGTTCCGCTTTTACTTCAGCCATGAAATGGCTTCCTCACTGTATACATATATATATATATATATAATTTGTTTTCCTCCTGCTGAAATAGACATCTTGCTAGTTTTAACTGGTTGAAGCTGGTCTCCCACCCTGAGCTCAGCATGCACTGTAAAATTCGTAATTTTAAAGGCAAACCAATGTGAAAATGCTGTGAACTGGTATACTGTAAGACACCTAATACCATATTTCAATGGACATTATAATTTGACTTTGTTTTAGAATTGTGTGTGTTACCCTAATGATCTTTTGCTTTGTTTGTGTGGTTAACTGTGCTCTCTAGAATGATTATTGGTTTATCGCAATGGCTGGAAAGGTCAATTTTGTGGATTTTGATAGTTGCCTACTGTAGATTGGTTGGTTAACATATTATATGATTTCATGATAGACAGTTATGAACTAAAATCACCAAGTCACCAAAACGTCACCATGTCATTCTTGAAACATCATCACTTTGAATTTCTATGAAATATAATGAATAACATTTACCCAGGACCAGCAATCAACTGTTTTCCCCAGCATTCAAAAGGTATTACTTAAAGAGATTTTCTGATTAGTATCAGATTTAGTATCCATTGTCAGATTATCATTTATTATGTTTGTTGCATGCTAAAAACATCATCCTATAATTTTCAAGGGCAAAATCATGTTGGTGGAGTACATTTATAGGTAGTTCAATGTTGTCATCTAGTGGTACATGATAGGTATTGTCACGTACAGGCATTTACCAGCAAGTGTATCAACTAACCTGTGCCTTGCCAATACAGTTCTACTTTGTTATTCCACAGTTATAATCGAAGATACATTTCCATATTTTGACTCTTATTTAACAGCTGATTGTATAATACGGGAGTTGCATATGGCAATTTCTTCATGCTTTATCAGATCTGATTTTAATTAGTCTATTTTTTGCATTAGCACTCAGATTCTGTGAAACTAAATGATTTTGGCAAGTAGGCACCTTACATAAGTCTTTTATCCACACCAAGCTGATTTCATACTTATGTGGAGGAGGTTTATATATTGTGATGACTTGCCAAAGTTATGGGATTTTTATAGCCCCAATGTAAAAAAAAAGATCCGTTATTTTAACAGGAAAACATTGTAAAAATGCTATAGTAAAAAACTGTTAATTGGTTAACAGTAAGTTTCTGTACTATATACACAGTGACAAATTGTGATTACATTGAATGTAATTTCACAATAAGACTGTTAAAATTAAGTTTTTTGGAAGTGAAAAACAAGTCATTGTATAATTTACAGTAAAAAAACAAAACAATCAAACATAAATTGACACTCCCACAATTCCTTGCATGACACTTCATATTTGATGTTTTTTTCATTGAAATAACTGTTTCTTCTTCTTATGTTTTTCTTCTTCTCAGTTGTGTACATTCGGGTTTTATCCTACATGTAATGTTGTTAAATTAATGTTTATTGCATCATTTCAGTATCATGTGTGTAACCGTGATGGTGTTTAGTGCTTGTGTGAATGACACTGTGCACATTCTACAGGTGCATCTATGGGGTATTGTCAAGAGGAAAATGAGAAACAAGAGACCAAAAAATGCAGATAAGCTGAAGGCCACTGTGAAAGAAACCTGGGCTTCCATACCACCTCAGCAGTGCCACAAACTGATCACCTCCATGCCACGCCGAATTGAGGCAGTAATTAAAGCAAAAGGAGCCACTACCAAGTATTGAGTACATGTACAGTAAATGAGCATACTTTCCAGAAGGCCAACAATTCACTAAAAATGTTTTTTTTATTGGTCTTATGAAATAATCTAATTTGTTGAGATAGTGAATTGGTGGGTTTTTGTGAAATGTGAGCCAAAATCATCACAATTAAAAGAACCAAAGACTTAAACTACTTCAGTCTGTGTGCATTGAATTGATTTAATACACGAGTTTCACAATTTGAGTTGAATTACTGAAATGAACTTTTCCACGACATTCTAATTTATTGAGATGCACCTGTATATATGCTATTGCTAGTATTTCCATCCTTAGCTTGTGGAAGAGCTGCTTGTGATGAGCGAGATGATTCGTCATATGACCTTATCATCACAACCTGTTTTTGGTGGTTGTAAGTGTATTACAATGGTACAAAACAGACTTTAGTACTTAAATATGTTGGTATTTTAAGATTATATCAATAAATGAATTAGTTTTTTTTTACTGTGATTTTAAGGTAAGTCTGTAAAACCTATAATGTTGCTACCATATTTTTTATGGTAAAGTTTTGGCAACCAATTTTGCCATTTTATTTTACACTATAAAACAGTATAAGGTAACCCCCCCCCCCACCACACACACACACACATATAACAACATGTACTAATTTATTCAGACAATATATGCTTTCCTTTTTGTGCTGATGTATCCTGATTCCTGACATCTCCTTTCTACTTAAAGGCCAGACGCACGACAAGCAACAATTTCAAATACATAATCATAAATCAATGACGAAAATTAATATTTGAAGTTTGGTATTTATTTTCATGACCGGACCAAAAAAGACTTGCAATGTGAGCTAGTCTGGTAATTTATACAAAACAAAACTATTGAATAAAAGTTCTATTACGTGAAATAGTATATCTATCATGCATTTTTAATGCATGCTAGTGAAAGCACTTTTGTGACTTGAAAGCCAAGTAAGTGTAATCTAAACAGACTCTGCAAACTATTGTGCTTATTATAGTATCGGTGTATCATCAAAATCATGTGTTTCCTGTCATTCCCTGTATCATTTGATAAGAATCAGCCTAACTTTTGTCTCTCACAAATGCAATAACAGAGTGCACTATAAGTTGGTCTGTGATGAAGGTTAATAATAGCTCATTCTAAAGAAGTTACCCTGCCTATATTATGAAGTGTCTAGCATAAAGATAATGATGTATTATGATCTATCCATATACCAGTAAAGCCATGTATTTGATTTATCTGGTGTTGTTTGTGGAGCACAGCACTAGATATATAAAAAATAGCCACAAATAATAGCACTGTTATTATCACTCAACTCTGGCTTGTCTGTAAGTGTTCAATCCTGACTGTCGAAGGACTACACAACAACAGCGGCAGGATTCTTGGGATCACATGGCTCTGGAGGACAGACACTGGTTGACCACCTCCAGCAGCTGAGAGTTCTCCAGAGCTGCTGCCACTCTCTCTTTGTCTGCAAGCTGCTTATTGACTGGAGGAGAAATTTTTTTATTTTAAAATGGAAACAGGGTGCTGTGTAATAGAAAAATACACTTGAATTTCTAAGGCCTCTAATGTTGTGTTATCTGATTGACAGTATATACTTTCATTAGTAAGTGAAAGGCCTTTTAGTATAATTCTACAACCATACACCTTCAAGGTAATGAAACGTGCCTTTTTGCTGTGAAAGCTACTGATTTTTATGAAGTAAA